GGCAATTCTTCTAGCTGAAACTCACGCAGACTTTGGCCTTCCTTTAATCAATCAAGTTATACATGCAGAACCACAACAAGTCCTGCGACTTTGGCCCTTATGTCCCCAGAATGGGAAGGACTGCATGCTTGCATATACGTACCGGCACGCTTCTAAAAGGAAAACGCTAAGGGCCAGGATAAGGACAGAATAGAAGCACGAACGAACATTACTACAGTCAACATTAATTGCCTCAACTTACCCTGTCGAACGACTGCTATTGAGACAATGGACTGTTCTACTCTGCATCGGCTGCGTCATTAACACTCTGCACTGGATTTATAGCATTTATTGCTTTCTTTTCATACAAACTAAACCTAACTTAGAAAAGTAATTTTAAGATTTAAAATAAATTATCTTTAACTCTTTTCTTTTGTTTGGTATGTAAAAGAAAAATGGACCAGGCCTTTAAATGAAAAAACTATATGTCCAGCAACGTTATGACTTTTTATCATACAATCTTCTTAAGACTTCAGTCCGAACAAAAATATGATAATAGATCCAAAAAAATATGTCGTTCACTTGATGAAAGTGATCAAACGATGAGGCAGCCACCACTATCTCTTACGATGGGTGACAATTCCAAAGAGGATGACCAAAAAGAATAAATTGATAATAAACCTGGGCACGACCAAATTGTTGTTTATAAATGGATAATAAACCGGGGCACGACCAAATGGTGGTTTATAAATTGATAATAAATTTTGATCGAACCGAAGCCTTCCGAAATTGCCAAGAATTTTTTTCTATTTCGGGCCCATCAACGTAGAAAATAGAAATGAGATAAATTACAGCTTTTAACAAAAATGAAAGACTCCCGTGTTTTCATTCCTCCACCGGTTAGCTAATCAATTCCAGCCAGAACAAGACGTCGTAACTCGGCATGAACTTAACTAAAGATAAAGATGTTAGAATGACAACGCCACCTCCGCTTCCGCCAACACCTGCGGAAATGAAAAAGCCTCAATCACCTGTGGCGACGAATGATATCCCCAACAGAAGGCCAATCAATTTACTGTGGATTCTGAGGAATCAACTGAAGTGCATCAAACGACTGTGCATTTGGAAATTAAATTAGAAACATTGGTTTCTGGAAGCCCTCTTAACAGCTTACAACACGATTTGAAAGCACCCAAGAAAGGGGACAACCCATCGAACAGTATGGTTAGTATTGAAATCCTTGATCATAAGTATATCTCATCGTACCCATCGTAAATCATTGATTTGTCTACAAAGTTTTTCTTGTAATTGCTATCTTTGGCTGCAGCTTTTCCTTGTTATACTAATTATCCATCTGGTTTTATTTTTTTGCTGCCTGTCAAATGCTTTTGGGAAAAATCGTGAAAAACTCGTAAAAATTTGAGGTCCCAACTTGAAGTTGACAATATTTAAATATATTATTATTATTATTATTAATTTCGCCACAGAAATAAATTCTAAGACTAAACTCTTAAAAGCACTAGCATCTAAGGCTATCGGCTTTTATTAAAAACTCTAGCGCACTTGAGATTCGAACCCACGACCATTGACTTGCTAGTCGAGATTCCTCCCCTTCGGCTACTCAGGCGGATATATTTAAATATAAAAAAATCGAAATTTGAGGAAATTTTCGTAGTACCGGTACGCGCACTTAAAATACAAAAATTGGTTGAACAACAGATAATGGAAAAGCCGGCAGCTGCACCTCTACCACCGCCTACTCATATGACATACTTTCGCGAAATAGTGGTTTGGGAACATGTAATGTTTTTCCGATATATTCACAGAATGGCCGATTTTTCCCGTTTTTGCACAAGCAGAAAATTAATTATTGGCTTGACTTTGATTAAATTTTTTTTTTTTTTAATATACTTGGCTATGAGGTGAATAGAAAATGTGTATTATGGGATATTTGTATCAGCCAAGCGACATAAATTGGTTTCGCAAATTGATTTATAAATTCGCATCATTTAAGCATAAGTTAATGTGAAACTTTTGATCACGGTATTACATATCACAACACCGTTAATACAGAAAGACTTAGCTGCATCCATTGGCTAACTTTCATTATGATCTATGGATTTCATTCACCATTTAAAGTTACTACTTTTATATACTCTACACCACTTGCGATACAAGGATATATTAAGATTGTACGGATGTAAGCAACAACAAAAACGACTTTATATAGACCCATCTTCTATTATACCGATCTAAGCTTGTCTGTCTGCTTGTTGTCGTTATTTCGTGTTCAACCTACAGGCCGCGACATTTGAGTCAAAGTTCTATAAATATATAAAAGATATAAAATATATATACAATTCCTTTCAGCTATATTAGTTGGCAAAGTTACTTTGCGGTAGCCCGGTGCAGACGATGGAATACATAAGTTGTTTATTGGGCAATATTAAAGAGTGTAAACGTATGAGATAAAATTTAATTCTGCACGTATTACAAGTAATAGGAGACCTTTAGCGAATTTGCTTGCAGATGTCATTGAATTCTTTAATTGCGTGGTCCGTAGGAAATATTTCGTGAATTCCTAGCAAAAATATTAAAATCGATGCTTTATTAGGAGACAAACAGGTATTATTCAATTCGACCATTTTTTTTTTCAATATTATTAAAGACTACGATTAATTTAAAGGCAATAATATGGCAATCGTCTTTTTTTCAATATTATTTCAGGGTAAACTCTGCTCTTCCGAACTGAGTATACGTTCAACTTACAAATATCCTTTGCACATACGTAATATCAATTTTACGGAACCGGGTTTTCGATTTGAAGATTTCCAGCAGTATGGTTCCAATATGTCTCCTGAAACAGTTACAACTGTTGGACGAATTTATTTCGAACCGGCCCTTTTATGCGGTTCACGTTGTTACATACCTCCTTATACAGATAAGGTGGTCACGTTTCTTAACAATTTTGAAGGCAATAATCTTCACATTCCTCATTTTGATGAAGTCGAATTGAGACGACGGACCGAATGGTATAATAATTTTAAATTGATACAGAGCAATGAGTAACAACAGCAATTTAAGATACGTATTAGAGTCTCATATAGGAGTGCAGATATATTAGACGAATAGAAGGATTTGTGAAGGAATATAGTCAGTATTTGATTGAGATCATTTATATGTTCAAATTTCATTACCTTACTATTCAATATAAGTTATAAAATTTAGACAAATATTCTACTTCTATTATCCACTTTCTTTATAGCAGACCTACTCTACAATGACAATGTATGAATACAGCTCTTCTACACCAGAGGATGTATTGTCACAATATTTATAATTCGTCCAGTATCAACGGATGGAACTGAGAACGAAGAGAAATAGTCTCTTAAACGTGGATAAGATATTGTCACCAAGAACTATGTGGAACCAGTAATGTTCGGATTTTCTAGCTTAATATACCGAGCAGCAGTACAAAGACATGAGCAATATCTAAGTTTAATATACCTGGTTCCAGCAAGTGGTGTAGAGTATAAAAACACTTCCAGAGAGCAATTGGCACACTCGCGTTTGACATTGAAGGGGAATGCGCTGCAACATGTCAATAGATAACATAAGACAGATTGCTTCTTCTGTGCGATAAGACTTAACCACACATCCCAAAAACGTTAAAAACACTGAAATAAATTGAACTGAATTGTTGCTTTGCTCCTTACACCTATCTATATGTGGACTTATCAAATGAACGAAAAAAAGAAATTCTTTCAAACATAGCCTCAACAAAAGAGTGCTAGTGCAGGAAGTAGTTTTGTGAATTTACGCAGTATTCCTACCAATAGTGGACAATTTCAGCGCAGAGTTTTATTTCTTTTCCAGATCAAAGAGGCAGACTTACGTCGAAATATAAGAAGTGAGGGAGATTCTCGGCGAGAAGCGCCTACGCCCACGTCTGGGCGGCGCCAACCTGCGAATGACGGCGCGAAGCGCGTTCACCAGTTCGCCCACCTCTTAACAGCTATGATTTGCGGCACCGCTTGAGTTGCACGAATGAGGGCACCTCGCGCCGCCCCAATAATAATACACAAGTATTATTACGCATAATAAATGTAAGCAATGTTATATATAATAATTTTTATGATATTTATTTTGTCATTATTTTTAGGTAAACCAAAAACAAAAACAACCACCGTATCAACATATAAATTTGTGTTCAAGCTCTAGGTCGCAATAGGCACAGTAAAACTCTACGACTCATTTTGATTTATCTATAAATTCATTGATATTTCGCCAGCGCATATAACCTTTATCAATAAGTTCCTGAATATATGTCGGTACTCCTGAAAAATTAGAATCCTAAAAAAAAAAAAAAAATTTCTGTTAATTCTTATCATATATTCGTACAAGTGCTTGAAGTGCTTGAAATATAATATATAATCTGGTATATATAAATATATAAAAAATAAGCATTTATCTCCCCTTGTACGTCTCCTGAATAGTTTTATACAATTTTTATAGGCGTGGCATTCGATTTTGCCCTATTTTGAAAAATTTCTGTTAATTCTTACCATATATTCGTACAAGTGCTTGAAATATAATATATATAATCTTGTATATATAAATGTATAAAAAATAAGCATTTATCTCCCCTTGTACGTCTCCTGAATAGTTTTATACAATTTTTATAGGCGTGGAATTCGATTTTGCAGCGACGAAACTGACGCAAACGTTTTACGCGATCAGGACGAAAACGTTTATCAATTATCGGTTTAGTCGCGAACGAAAGTCAACTTTTAGATAAGCGATTACCTCTCTGCATTTAATAATAAAATATGTGGCGCATATTTATGAAATAGAGATTTACCCTAAGGCATTCTTCGTTTTTTATTCAGAAAAGCGTGGCAACTCTAGTTTTAAGTCTAATTTATTGAAAGGTAATAATCTTGTGTGCTATTGATGGTTTTTTTTCTACATTATGTTTGGTTTATTTTATTTGTGTTATCAATAACTTTAATAGATCAACAATGAGTCAACTAAATAAACTTAAAGTCAGAAACTTAACTGAACTTCAGGCGCCATTAGCATTAGCAGTCGAAATAACAGAAAAGCAAGTTAACGGAAAAGCGCCGACAAAAAGGATAAGAAAAGCTGTTTCGGGAAATAAAAAAACGCTTAGTAAGTGCAAAAAACTGAGCATTTTAAAAGATCAGTCATCTAATCAAAGGCGTATTATCGACTATTTCAAAAGTTGTCCTAAGAAATGTTGCTTTGAAGAAATAAAGTCAACAGCAACAAGCGAAACAATTATAAAATCGAAATTAAGAAGAGGGGATCGCAAACGTTTACTTTGGGCCGAAAAAATTCCGGCGTATAAGGTTGACAAAGATATTATACTTATTGATTCGGATGACGAAAAAGAGTTAAAAGAAGACATTAGAAAGATTGACTTAAAAGACCTGAATAACAATGGAAATGAAGCTACCAGCTCCAAAAGCGCTAGCAAATCTGGTAATTTTAGTAATCAAACCTCTCTTAAACCAAATGTAGCGGTTAAATCAAAAAACTGCAAGCAACACATCAAAGTAAAAGAAATTCCAAATCCTCTTGTGGACCAAAATGGATCGATTTTTAATGCGCACCTTTTAACTGCTCAAGAAATAAGTTCGCGTAAATCAAGCATTGGTGATGGATTACACGGATTATCCCCCACATATACTTCTATACCATTGCTCAGTGATAAGACGAGCAAACAATCTCTGAGCACCTTAACAAAAAGTTTTTCATCCAAGTCGTCTCAAAAATTGAAAGTCTGTCCTCCATATAAAATAGTTAAGGGCACAAGTTTTGCGGTGGATGCATTTCAATATGGCGCTATTGATGGTGTCAGTCATTACTTTTTAACACATTTCCATGCCGATCATTATATCGGATTGACACGCAAATTTTCGATGCCTATCTATATGAGCAGTTTAACAGGTAAACTACTAAATGTATATAAGTTTGAAATGAGCCTTAATCCACATTTAACAATTTACAGCTCGACTGGTGCGTGCTTTTATATCAGTCCAGGAACATTTTTTACACATTTTAGAGTTAAATGAGAAAGTGCAGATTAATGATTGGGAGATAACCGCTTTAGATGCAAATCATTGTCCCGGTGCTATAATGCTGTTTTTTAAAAATTCGCTTTCGGGGAAATGTCTTGTGCACACTGGTGATTTTCGTGCTTGTCATCAAATGGAATCTGAACCGATTTTCTGGAATAATGTAGATATCGATGCGCTTTACCTGGACACAACTTATATAGCAGAGAAATATGCGTTTTGTACGCAATACGAAAGCATAACGCAAGGGAAGGAACTGATAAAAAAATTCCAAGAAAATCATCCCAATAAAAAAATTTTATACGTCTGTGGGTCATATCTAGTAGGTAAAGAGAAATTTTGGTCCGCTTTAGCCGAGGAATATGACTTAAAAGTATGGTCGGAAAAAAATCGACGGAAAGCTTTAGAGGCCATGAATGAAGAACACCTCATGAGATTGCTAGTAGACGATCCTTATCAAGCTAATATGCATATAGTAGCTATGGTTAAATTAAGTTACCTGGTAAGTCCTTTGTCTAATTTTCTATACCCACCACGTAAAGAAGTAAGGATGTGGGCACAAAACTCAGTGTACACAACATTGTACAGCTGAACAGATTTAGTCTTGTCTGTTCGTTTGTTAAATAATAACGACTCTATTTAGTAAAAACAGTTTGTTTTCAAAATTGTTCTTCTCTCGTCAGGTTAACATTAACATTCGTTCGTCGTTCCCACAGGCAAGCAATAGTTTATATGAGATATTTAGCAATTTTTCACTTTGTCTCACCTCCTTGTGCAGTTGTAAAATGGCTTTGATTTCTCGCTAAAAACAGTTAGCTCATTTTTTTTCCTTTACGAGGTTTATAAACAAAGTATGTTTGAAGTTCATTGTTGAATAGCTTGGAAAAGTTTTCTGTTAAGCATTAAAACAAGGTCAGATCTCTGCTAATGTACAAAGTTTGAAAAGCGTTCGATAATTTTCAACGTCAAATTTCTGTTAACATTGGAAATGAACCAAAGCCAAATCTTTGTAAACGTACCAATTCTCTTCTTATTTTCATTCTCTGTTTCTTCTGTGTGCGTTGTAAATTCTGTAAAAATATTTATTATGTGTACAGGATAATATTTAAATATAATTTGTTTACGATTTTTCTCGTTAAGTGGTGGGTGTTAAAACATTCAGATATATCTTTTTATAAATAAAGACTTTGATTTTTTTTTTATCAAGAACTTAGCGGAGTATTTCGCTTCCTATGAAACGCATTTTGATATGATTTTAGCTATACGTCCTAGCGGGTGGGAAAAAAACAGCCGACCACAGTATCGTGGAAAAATCAATATTGTGGGCGTTGAGTATTCCGAGCATTCTAGTTTTGAGGAATTAAAACGTTTTGTAAAGTACTTGAAACCAAGTCAAGTCATCAGTACTGTGGCTGTGGGAAGAGATCCCTTGATTACTGCTGACGTGCCTCAAAACTGGTATAAATATGAAGAGTTAAAAAATTCGCGCAGTTATCAACCTTTTATTACCACCTACATGAGTATAGCTAAACCACAACTCCGATTACCTGCAATGGGAAAGTTTATATCGCCTTTAAATAAGACGAAGCAAGTACGCTCGAAATCATTGACTGAGGAATCATCATTTGCCAAAGAAAACATTTCAAAGCGATGTGGAATTGATAAGACTTCTAATGTTCAGGAGGTTTTAGCATGTGGTACATTGGGGACGGATTCAAATATAAAAAGAACTGGCAATCAAGCAACTCATGAAAAAACTAATTTTTCAGAAAACAATGCGCTAAAATTGTCCACAATTGAACGAGTAGGAACATCAAAAAGAGTTGGCAGTTACCTCAAACGTAGGGAAATCGATTCGAAATCATTTATTACCAAAGAAAACATCTTAAAACAAGAAGAAATAAAAAAGAAGTCTTCCAATGTTCAAAAACTTCCAAAATGTGGGATTTTTAAAATGGATCCGACCTCAAACCAATCCAATAGTCAAACAACTGTTGAAACAATCAGTAAATTTCCACCGGAGAGTAGAAAAAGAAATCTTCCAAAATTAACTAATAATTCTTGTAAATATAAACAAGCATATTCGCAATCGTCAGCGACCGAGAAAAGCATGTCAAAACAAGCGAAAATTTTTAAGTCTACCCATGTTCAAAAAATACCCAAAAATAAAATTTGTAGATCGAAATCCGCAAGTAACTTCGGCATTCGTATGGCTGAGAAAAGTAAAGAGCGGGATGCCCTAAATCTATATAAAATTGGAGGACTGAAAACGTCAACACAAAATGATAGCTCCTCCGAGCGAAGTAAAAACTTTCCGAACGGCAGACACTACATAAAAATCAGATATGGGGAAGAAACAATAGAAAACCGGAAACCAGAACTCTCTAGCCGAGGGAAAATAATTTCTGAGCAAGATAAGTTTCAGGTAAGCTTATCTAGCGAGGAAATATCCGTGTCTCAAAAACGTCTTTTGAGTAACAATGAAAAGCAAAACTCATTGCTTTCGAAAACGAAATTGTCTACCACAATAGTATCCACAACTCAATCTCTTCAATGGACAGAACAAGTTCAGCTTGATTTAACAAATGGAGCTTCTAAACCATTGTCCGATTGTCTAGTGACTCCTGACGATTGTGAATATGATTGGATGGATTGAGGCGCCAGTTTTTTTTTTAATATTGTATTCTTAATGCGTAACATGTTAAAGTGGTCTCTCTGTGATAGAGTTGGTAAAATTTTAAAGACTTGAGTACAAACATGTGCATTTGTTCGTATAAAACGGGATAAAACTCCTTATTTTATGTATTGTAAACTCCTGTTATGTTTTTAAGTAAAGAAGTATTTATTGTTTTGTTAACTTGTATTTAATAAGTACAATGTATTTTTTTAAAAATTTTTATATTTCCATTTCCATTATAGCTAACAAATATATCATTATTTTAGCGTTTAAAAAAACTTCTGTATTAATAAGTCTGTTACTAATCTTTCAGTCTTGGTAATAAAACGAATCATTTCCAACTATTGATCCCATAGGTTGAAGGCGAAGATGTTTAAAAGGCTCTATTACGGTCCCCTGGAAGTATATATAATTTACCGTCTGTAGTATCCTAAAGCTACTTGACGGGCTTTTTGGAGTATATCAAGATAAATTTGTTTATCTCTTTCAAACGCAATAGAAAATTAGTGAAGTTGCTCTCGAGGGAAAATTTATTGGAAAGGAATTTTTTTTTGTTGTTGACAGTACGATAGCGTACGAAGTTTTTTTAGAGGAGAATAGAAGATTCGAAACAAAACTCTGAGAGAAATTAGTGACAGTGGAAGTGTGTAGTTAGTTAAATTAACATCTGACTTGCACTTAGAAAATATTGATTATTCAATTACCTTGAGAAAATATCCAATTAAAAAAGTATAAAGTTCAAGTAAAAGATTAGAAAAATTATTTTCATTTTATATTAAATAAATGTATATAAAAATAAAATGTATATAAAAGAATGATTGAATTATTGCTTTTGCTTTTTTTGGATTTCACATAAAGCATTAGTTTTTACAAACAGGTAATTCTGTTAACCGTTCATGTCCCACAAATACCGTCTGCTTACCGTTCATGCCCACAAATACCGCCTGCTAACCGTTCACGTCCCACAAATACCGTCTACAAACCGTTCATGTCCCACAAATACCGTCTACAAAACCGCTGATAAAAAAAATTACGTGAGTTATGATAATAATGCTAAAAATAAAGTAGTATTGGAAGTTTAAGGAAGAGTTGGAAGCAATTTTAGAGTACACTCGACTAACTGGCGTGGCTATATATGATTCCAAAAGCCTGGTTCTGTAAAATCTTAAATGTTAAATGATTTACATATAGTTATACGATTTATATATAGTTGCAATATTTATTCGAAATTTTACATCAATTAAATTGTTTTATACATTGACAAAATTAATATAAATAATAAAAGACAGTGGAATAATTCGAAGAGGTGACGTATCCATTACTAAAGAAAGAAACATTTAACGATTCTGCTGACATTGTTCATTTAATTTCATTTAATTTTTGTTTAGTTTCTTGATAAGCATATTGGCATATATTGCAGAACCCGCCGCTTATTTGGTCCATTGCGGCAACTTTACCTTCAATGTTTTCCATTGCTCAGATCGAAAGCGTGCCACCCTTACTTACTTCACTTAACGTCAATTTCTTACAACGCTCTTATATTGCTTAATGTTTTTTCTTTTTTACCCTTTTATTTTCAAATTCCTTATAACACTTGTTTTGAACCGCAGCTTAGTCCTCTTCGTTTCGTCGTCCAGTTGCAAAAACAATCTTCACTAAGTATTTGTTTTTGATTACTTTTGCGCAATTTTTAACAGAATTGCGTGGAAATTTGTCACGGTCTTAGCTATATCGGCAGAGCATTTATATTTTCCTGACAATAGGTCCCGTCGGTTGTCTATCGTCCGTCTGTCCACCGTAAGTCAGTCTGTAACCGTCTGGAGTCCTCCCTACAGTGCCATCATATGCACACCCCTTCGTCTCAGCCACAGCGGTGGCAGCTCGCGCTTAGCCACTCATCGGGGACAAAAAAATTAAATAGACTAAAAATGACTTACAATACAAGCATCGGCGTCGGTGCAGTGTCGGCCGCGGTAGCTGCTACATCCGCAATCCCTGCTCCTCTTTCTATTAAGCCTTTTCCACTCCCATACAAACTTTAATTTTCATTGCTGTGTGCGTAGGTGCACGCGGGTAAACGCTGTTTGCAATAATAAACTGGGATCTTTTTGATGATAATGTTGAAGAACTTTTTTATTAGCAATTTCCTGAGTTTTTATAAATAATTTTTACAATTTTCTTTATCTTATTTAATTAATTTCTCTTCCGAACAAATTTCTTAAGCCGTGCAGTTTTTTTTTTTCTTTACTCCAATTGCGTTTACTTTGCCAAGTTGCTGTATTGGTTATTTTTTTTTTCTTTTTTTTTTTGTTTATGTAAATCCTTTTCTATTTTTTATTATAAAACATTGTTCTGTTGATAAGAAAACTTTTTTGCTTCTTGTTTGACAAAAAAAAAAACGTATTGAAAGAACGGTGCAGCCATTACTCTTGCCTGGCTTCTCTTATGCTTCTTTTAATTGTTCCACCTTCTTTTTTTATTGTTTTTTTTTCTGTTATTTGAGGTTTTAATTACAATTTATCCTTTTTTTTGAATTTCGATTTTCAGTTTGAGCCCATATTTCAGAAAAAGAAACAAACAACCACGGCTCAGCCGTACAATCAAAAAACAATAGAAAAGCAAGCGCACTCGTTGAGGTCTACACTGCAACTCAACTAGAACTAAACTCAACTTAAAACTATCCCCTCTGACTTAAATTTAAAACGCAGACAGACTTCTCCTTCTTACTCAATATCCCTCTTCTTCTTCCTGTTGCTCTCTCTATAACGGCTTGCCGCTACTCTCACAAGAGCAAGCATAGATCCCGCAAAATCATACGATTTTGCCTATGCTTGCAAAAGCAAAAGGAAAAAAAGGAGTACCGCAAAATCATACGATTTTGCCTGTACTTGTAAACAAGGAAATCAGAGAAGAGTAAAATAAACATATCCCGCAAGATCATGTGATTTATAAACAGTATCACAAAATCGCATGATTTTGTCTAACGGCATGCCGTTATTCCGATACTTGCGGTTGATACAGACCACAAGACCCCCTACCCACGGTTTGTTCGCGGCCGTTACAAATTTTTTCTTTTCAACAGGACTGTGTGCAAAGTTTTTCTTTTTAACAGAATTGTGCGCAAACTCTTGTTCACTTAGTTCGTTTTCAATGTCAAGTCTTTTTTTAGCTATTGCAGGACATACAGTCCCAAATATATATGTTGAAAATAAAAATTTGTTAAGACTATTCCGATTTTGGAACAGACGGACCTCAAAATCTACTCCTGATGTAAAAGTTACATAAATGTCTTAATTGAGAAGGTTAGTAGAAGGTTAGTTAGGTTGAGAAGATTTATTTTCTTACCGGACATAGGAAATGAAAATTTGTACACAACGCTTTAAAATCTCTATTAAATGCTCGTTACGAAGTGTTTGTAAATCCAACCACAACAAAACCCGCGGGCCAAGGAGAAGCCCCCCTCGCAGTAAAGGGAACAAGTTATATGAAACATTTGTGCAAACTTTTTGTTAATGCCGACGTTGCAATGCCTAAAATTGATTCTGTGGCCGAATTCCATTGACAGGTATAACTTTCGTAAAATGACACTAATGTTAGAATTAATAGTTGTGTTGCTTTCGCTTGTTTTTTTTTTAAGGAACGCGATATAATAATAATTTCAACAGTGAGATCAAGCAAGAAGCATATACCTAACGATGTGCGCAAATACATGCAAAATTATAGAAAAATGTAAACATATGTGTGGACGCTTATTCATTCTCAGTTGTTTGCAATTTTTACAAATTTTATACAACTACCTGTTGAATTATTGAGAACGACACACACGCTTTATCTCTAATTCGCCAAATTTTACATGCTTATTCTTTAAAGGCACCATAGATAATACGTTTATTTTTTAAAGGCACCGTAGATAATATGCTTATTCTCAGATTCTCAGGCAATTTTTATGCGATAATATAATAATAATTGAAAAACCTGAAAATAAACAAAATAGACGAATTAAGAAAACGATAGCAACAACAAGTATAAAATAAAAACTTTAAATACTAAATTTTTTATTTTATAATTTACTGAAAAATTCGGGTTTGAATTGAGATCGTTTCCGTCACGAGATTTCATAGAAGGGATCTTTCTAACAAAGAAATATTCATCCCTAAAAACTGCATGAAGATTGACTTCAAGGGAAAATTAATCCCCAAAAACGTTAAATTCAATTACTGTATTGTCCTAGTGGACTGCTTTATCCCTTCTGTTAAACTGTGTTTCAATTGCGGTCGCTTTGGCCACTTTTTCAAATTTTGCAAAATCAGGGAAAGTAGATACTGTGCAGCCTGCTTCATTAACTCTTGCAAACTAATCAAATGCTTAGGTTGTGGTCCATATGTAATTTATAGAGAGTGTCCGAAAAGAAAGAAGGAGAAAAACATCAAAAAAATTTCAACCATCCAAAATATCTCTTTTAGAGAATACAAAGAAAAAGTCTCTACCAATCCATTCAATCTATTAGACAACAACTACGATGAAGACTTCCCGGCAATGAAGAAGTACTATATCCAACAACATAAGAGATCCGATTCTAGAGTCGAACAACATTTTAGTTTAAAAAAATGCGGTTGCTAAAAATAGAACGCGTACTCCCAAACCCAAGCAAAGGGCGATCCACAAGATGCCGTCGACTTACAATACTAAGATACAGAAGCCAAAAAATTCTCCCCATACTTCTGAAAAGCATATCTGTACCAATAACCACAAGTCGACAGAAATGGAAATATTATTGAAAGAGATTTTCAAAATTCTTTCCACCACTCCTTACGAAGAAAAACTAAAAACCATGCAATCAGAAATTGCAACCATTGAATCAAAATTTGGCCTTTTAAAACAAGGTACATCTAGTTCGGTCTTAACATGATGTTCTTGCCTGTTTTAATTAGCTTGAAATCGGTCCAGTTTTCAACTATGGCATCTCCAAAGAAAAAATGCTACATTATTCAATAATATGACATTTTGAGGATGATGTCAATGATTTCGTCAAATCACTGCGTGCGCTCATACATGTGAACAAGCGTTTGCTCATCACAGTTCGACGTCGCATATATTAGGCAAACGTTTTTCGATAATTTGCTAAGGCATATTGAGACATGTTCTGTATTGAAAAATATTTGTAAGTTCTTATATATAACAAAATTTATGAAGACTGACATTGATTTGTGGTTGTCGCTTATCGAATCCTTGTGTCAAGTAGCGACTTTGCAATTATCGATGAAGGATATGACTTTGTTTTTTGTATCGATGTCATATAAACAAGAAGAAAATCTTGGGCTGTAATGGTCGGTTTCGTTTCTGGAGACATTGAATATAATATTGAACGCGTTAAAGTCATACGTTTTTCACTTGCATTAAACAATTCATGAAACGGAAAGAAAACATCATTCTTATCTGTTAAACTCTCCCTAAAACAAGCAAAGTTCTAGCGAATATTTAATATATTGTTCTTTGAAACATATTTCATTAGTAGTCGGTACACTTTCTGTAAAATATTAAAATCGGCTTTCTACTTTACAAATTTCTCTACTCATGCCTGAAATATGATTTATTTGGGGCATTGAATTTGAATGACCTACACACTTCCTATGTCTAAAAGGCGTTTAAAAAACAAAAATTGGAAAGATTCGCAATTACAGAAGGGGAACTCTTAAGAGCCAATTGAAAGGTCAAACTGTCTAAAAACAATTTTTTTTTTTAATTTATTGAAGTTTTGAAAAATGGAATCAAATAAAGAAAACAATAAAGGTGAAGAAAGTCACTTACTCGTTTTAAAAAAAGGGTGGGTCGATACGAAGATGAAGTAATGTCCTTAGGCTCTTTATAAGCTTTTTTTAACAACTCTAACTTTGTACATTCCTAAAGCTTCAGATCGAGGTTTTGACGATATCAAGAAAGAAGACACTTACAACGTAAGTGAAAGTAAGTTGTTTTTAAAATTTGTAAAGAGACAACATTTAAGTTAATCCAAAATTTTTCAGCTTTGGTGCCATCCAGTCAGTATAAAACTGAGATAAGTAACAATTATGATTAGGATGAAGATGACGATGACATTTTTGCTTCCGTAAGCACTCAAGAAATCCTACATGAAGACGTGAAGATCAGTAATTTTCCTCATATGTCGAAGTTCCCAGTAAATAAGCAAATTACTCATGGTATGCATTGATGTTCCTCACATTTTATTATGCTTATTATTTTGATTGGCTTTAAAGGTAACCAAAGAGACAATATTAGTGGCTACTCCAAGAGCTTGGTGCTGAGAGAAACTAATGTTGCATCAGGACTTTAAAAAGCTAGCGGAGAACGGCCGGAGTTGGGAGAAGACAAAAACGCAGTTAGCGTGAGTGAAATTTCTATCGAAAACGAATCGGAAGAAGTGAAAAGTAAAGTGAATCGAGATGAAGTGGGCAAGGTGAATAATCCGAGAAGTTTGCTTGTTTCTGCTGGTTTTCAAACAGCGAATGGTAAAAAAATCTCCATATCGAAAAAAGCCAAATATCCGTACAAAATATTCTAAGAGAATTTCAAGACAATTTGCAAGAAACGAATTATAAAACTGAACTAAAAGACGTAAAAGCTCGGATGTCGATTAAAAGTATGGAGTCCAAGTTTGGAAAAAATGCCAACAAAACAGGCTTTCAAGCGACCTTTAAAATACATCAAGATAATGTTGGCAAGGTGTATAATCCGGGAAGTTCGCTTATTTCTGCTGGACTGGAAGATATGAGAAATCGCAAAAAG